GATTTTCACTCAAAGCTTTTTCTGTGGGTTTATTAAACTTGTTTAGATTGAAGGCTCAGAGAAATAAACGTTCGGAACCTTACTATCTTCCTTTTTATTATGAAGAGCGTTGAGAGAAGAGAGTATAACGATCCAATCCTGAGAAATACCACACGGTACATATATTAGGTCTTTAGGGAAATCGCTAAGTAGCGAAACACTAATCTTTCTAATCTATCTGATCAATCTAATATATCTTATCTATCTAATCTATCTAATCTATCTAATCTAACTAATCTATCTAATCTATCAAATCTATCTAATCTTTCTAATCTATTTAATCTATCTAATCTATCCAATCTATCTAATCTATCTTATCTTTCCCATCTATGTAATCTGTATCTAATCTATCTAATCTGTTTAATCTGTATCTAATCTATGTAATCTATCTATGTTATATATTTTATCGATCGAATATGTCTAATTTATCTAATCTAGCAATTCTATCTAATCTATCTAATCTATCTAATATATCTCATCTATTTAATCTGTATATAATCTATCTAATCAATCTAAACTTTCTAATCTATCTAATCAGTTTAATCTGTATCTAATCTATGTAATATATTTTATTGATCTAATATGTCTAATTTATCTAATCTACCAATTCTATCTATTCTGTCCAATCTATCTAATCTTTATAATCTATGTAATCTATCTAATCTACCTAATATAATCTAATCATCTAATATATCTAATCTATCTAATCTATCTAATCTATCAAATCTATCTAATCTATCTAACCTATATAATCTATCTAATCTATCTAATCTATATAATCTATCTAATCTATCTAATCTTTTTAATCTATCTAATCCATCTGACCTATCTTATTTATCTAAACTATCCAATCTATCTAATTAATATCTAATCTATCTAATCTATCTAATCTATCTAATCTATCTAATCTATATATAATCTATCTAATCCATATAATCTATCTAATCTACATAATTTATCTTATTTATCTAATCTGTCTAATCTATCTAATCTGTCTAATCTATCTAATCTATATAATCATATCTAATCTACCTAATCTATTTAAGCTATCTAAGCTATCTAACCTATCTAATCTATCTAATCTTTCTAATCTATCTAATCTATCTAATTTATCTTAGCTATCTAATCTATCTAATCTATCTGATTTATCTAATTTATCTAATTTATCTAATTTATCTAATTTATCTGATTTATCTAACAATCTATAATCTATCGAATCTAACTTTAAAAATATCTATATAATCTATATAATCTATCTATTTCATCTTATCAATCTAATCTAACTATAAAACTATCTATAAAATATATCTAATCTATCTAACCTGTCTAATATATACTAATACACTTTCTATAGTTTCTCGATCTAATTTATTTAAAATATTTCTTTATCTCACATATCTATCTATTTATCTAAAGATTCTCTTTATCTATCTATCGTACCAATTTACGCGGTTTCGTTTACTTTGCGGGGTCATAGTATACATAATAGAATACGTACTCTTACTCTGCATTTCTCATGGGGGTGAGAGGTGCTCCGTATTTTTAAAAAAAAATTCCTTAAATTTTTCAATCGAAAAGTTGTTCAATTATGAAGAAAACAAATGTTAACTTTTAACTTTTCTTTTTATAATAGATATACTTTCTATCTGTAAACTTTTTTATGTTTGAACCTGAACCTTCATTCAGTTGAGTCAGACTCCCTGGCAAAACTGAAAACTGCAGATCAGCTAAAAAGAAGATACAAGTCAGAGAAAAAAATTCACTGCTCTTTTTAAAATTTGGATAAAAAAATTTTAATTTACAAATAAATTGTAAAAAAAATTGTAAACTTTAGTTCTTCTACTTTCTATCTGTAAAATCTAGTTCTATACTACTTTCTATCTGTAAAATCTAGTTCTATCCTACTTTCTATCTGTAAACGCCAGTTCACCTACTTTCTATCTGTAAACTTTAGTTCTCCTACTTTCTATCTGTAGACTTTAGTTCTCCTACTTTCTTCTGTAAACTTTAGTTCTCCTACTTTTTTCTGTAAACTTTTAGTTCTCCCACTTTCTTCTGTAAACTTTAGTTCTCCTACTTTCATCTGTAAACTTTAGTTCTCCCACTTTCTTCTGTAAACTTTAGTTCTCCTACTTTCTTCTGTAAACTTTAGTTCTCCTACTTTCTTCTGTAAACTTTAGTTCTCCTATTTCTTCTGTAAACTTTAGTTCTCCTACTTTCTCTTTAGTTCTCCTACTTTCTTCTGTAAACTTTAGTTCTCCTACTTTCTTCTGTAAACTTTAGTTTTCCTACTTTTTTCTGTAAACGATCCAGTTTTCACACTCTAACTGCAATTTTACAGGCATCTTGGTATAAATGATAAGAAAAAAAATTTTAACGAATATTTCATGTCATTAATTATTTAATTCTATTCTCGTTGTCTTTCATCCCTTGATGTTTTATTTCTTATCATAAATTTCCTTGGGGGGGACCCGTGGGGCCAGGCCCCCCCCCCTTTAGTCCGCCCCTGATATTCTTAACTTACATAAAATGAGTAAAACACTTGGCAAGTCTTTCCAAATTTCTTAATTTTCGTGCTAACAAGCTTTTTCTTAGCTGAAATGGCTTTTAGCCTGATCCATGCATGCCGGTTAATGCGTCAAACCTCTTTGAAAAGGGGCCTTACGATGCAAGGTAGGTAGAAGTAAATGTGCTTAGAATCTAATTTTCAAATTTTGCTTATTTCTTTCCCCAAACCATTTTTTTGCTAACTTGTATGTAGAAACCTAGAAACCTGATTTACCTTTCATGGGGGCGTATACAGCAATTTGTTTAGGGGGCTGGAAGACTAATTTTTGATATATTTTTCGCAGTTGTTATTTAATAATTAAAAAAAATAATGATTCTCAAAACGTAACCACCCAAATGGATGATTATGAAAGTCGAATTTTGTGCTCAATTTCAGTAATTGTACATCATATATATTTTTACCAATAAAAAAATAATTAAGCAATAATTGTAACTTATGTTTTAGAAACCATGACTTCACCAATCTGGGATGTTCCTCATCTTGCAGCTGGATCCCCAAAACCTGCTTTGGACCCAAATCAGGTTTACGTTTATAACATGAGATTCTGCCCATATGCCCAGCGCACCATGCTCGTCTTGCTTGATAAGAAAGGGGGGGGGGTATTTATTTTCTATGGAAAGATTGTTGACAATTTATAATGTTTTATGATGAATTAAGGTTTATTATCACATCAGTAACCGAATTTAAAAAATTTAAAACGCGTTGCTGATCCGCCAAAAACCGGTTCCAATTAAGCTTCGGCACAAATTTTGGAACACTTAATACAAAATCAAAATACAATTTGAGCTGCGGCTCAAATTGTTAAAATTCTGCCTCAAATATTATTTAATTAAACCAGAGACTTAGAAATTTATGACAAAAATATATCTTAAACATTGTTGTGTATGTTACCAATTCCGTTCATGAATGAGTTCTTGTTCAGAGTAATTTTTTTGATTGGTTCACTAGGTTTGTAGGATATCTGTAGTTTAATGTTAAAATAATCATATCTCTAATCTGTATCCATCCATGGAATTTAAACCTTGATTGTTACTTCAAACTGTCTAGGTATGCTTGATTACATGATATGGCCCTGGATGGAGAGACTACCATGCATCCCCTTAAGGAACCCCAACATTTCATTGCCTGATTGTGACCTTGATGCATGGGTTAAGGTTAGTAACAGTTAATGCTTTCATCTAAATATTTTTAGGGAGAAATTTTGGCTCCACAAAATGTATTAAACTTTTCTGCATTCATATTATGGTGGAAACCCAATTTTCCTATTTGTTTGCACTACCTTGAATCTTTTTTTAAATTGCATGGAATTATCCAATAGACACGCAAATTTTGCTTGAGAATTTTGATGCAATCCTTTCACAATTATACACATATTGTGCAAATCTACACGTAAAAAAAACTGCAATTTGCGCTCAAAAGGGCAGGGAAAATTTGTTATTAAAGAATATTTACATTTGACAATAAAAGAATATTTAAAACAAGCAAATAAAATTAGCTAATATATAGGAAAAATTGTTTTTGAAAATTTTTCGAAAATAAGTTTTTAAATGACATCTTGTATTCAGGAAATGTGGAGTACTGAAGCAGTTTCTAAGTATGGACTCACTCCTGAACAGCATATGACATTCTTAGCTGAGTACAGAAAGGGGGACGATTGCAACTATGATATTTTGCTCAAATAGAGATTGCAATTTTGAAATTTACTTTAATAAAAGGAGTTGCAACAATGATGATGTACTCAAGAAAAAATGAAATTTGTGAAATTATAATTTGTTTTATTAAAAAATATTGCATTTACTTTCAATCATTATGATTTTTATTCAACATCAAATAAAAGAATGATATGTATTTTATTAGTAGATAACTTTAGACGTCTGAACAGAAATTTAGAGTTAAGCTTTTTCCTACATTTATGGTTTCCTGTAGCTGCTTTTTCCCTACATTTATGGTTACCTGTAGCTGCTTTTCCCCTACATTTATGGTTACCTGTTGCTGCTTTTTCCTTACATTTATGGTTACCTGTAGCTGCTTTTTCCCTACATTTATGGTTACCTGTAGCTGCTTATTCACTACATTTATGGTTACCTGTAGCTGCTTATTCACTACATTTATGGTTACCTGTAGCTGCATATTCACTACATTTATGGTTACCTGTAGCTGCTTTTTCTTTATTTGCCATTTAAGTAAACTGGAACCATATATTCAAGTTACCCTTCATGATAAGATTTTAATGCCTGATTCACATCGATATCCTTGAAACATTTATCTCAAGGTTATAAAGCAAGGAAAGTGTTCACGTCTTTTTTATTGCAGTGCACTGTCTCTGGGCGTTAATGTAAACCATAGACGTATGTCAGAGCTCGACATGAGATCCATCTTTCACGTGAAAAAAAATCAATGAAATATTCTAGTCAAAGAAAACTATTATGTGAATTATCAAAATGTAATGCTTTTATCCTCCACGGATACTAAACAAACACTGATGCATCTATTTTGTTTACAAATTCCGCCCAGAGAGAACTGGTTTCAATATATACGCAGAGTATACGCAACTGCAATTTACTTACCTTGCATTATAACCTTGCTTTATATTATTAGTAACGTAGAAAATATTGTCTTTTTATGTTCAAATTATTTATTAATTCCTAGATGCCTTATTGCACTTTGAACTTGATTAAAATTCATAAGTTGTCAAAATTATAAACATTGATTCATACTTGATCAGAAAAAGCTTTTAAGAATCGGGCATTGCCATCAAGGAGTATGGAATAGAAGGGAGATACAACTGACGCGGCCCGCCCTACCATATGATTATACATGCTTTGCAGACGGGTACTCCATTTGTATAAGAAATATTCAGAATAGGTTATTGTCGCGGTAATATAACAGATATTTCTTATACAAATGAAGTACCGCCTGCAAAGCATGTATAATCATATGGTAGGGCGGGCCGCGTCAGTTGTATCTCCCTTCTATTCCATACTCCTTGATTGCCATATTTTCACGGAGGGTTACTCAAAATTACACTTACACTCCCTTAGATATACTTCGGACTACTTAAACAGCGACCAAATTATATTCTAATCTTTCGTTTCGAAGAGTATTAATGGTCGTCGTCTCAACCTTTGCATTGGTTGAATGTAAAATGTATATTTCTCATATTTAAAATGACTGAACAATTGATATAAAATCAAGAAATATCAACTTTTAGCATAGAATTTTTACAAGAAAAATAGATAGTAATTTTAAATCACAATTAAGACAGCTAATTTCAATTTACAAACATCTTTAGATCAAAAACATGTTGTAACATAAGTAGGTTTGGTTTACAAAATCACGGCCCGCTTATATGTATGCTTCTATTTACCGATCTATACTATTCTGGGCTAGTGTACATGTAACTTTGTCGGTGGGCTACGCAGCTGTTATATCTCCGTGGACCCTAGATATTTTTAGGAAATTTCTATAACCTCTGCATAGCAAATTTTAGGTTTTACAAAAAATAAATTTTTATTCTGGCTATTTTTCATTCTATTAAATAAATTTGTACTTTTAAAAAGTTTGAAGTTCAGGGTCCAAATTAGAGAAGAACTTTGGTAGATAGTGGGCCCTGGAGTAAGCAGAAATGAGATACTGTAGCTAAAATCTTGTGATCATAGCATTTTCTTCAAAGAGTTGGTAGCATCAAACCCGCCTTGTTTTCAGAATTCCAAAATGTGGTCTACCGTTTTTATACCTTAAAATTGACCGAGATATTGAGAAATTTGTTTAAAATTCAAAATATTAATTATCAGCAAGGTTGTTTAAATCTTTAGTACCTCCAACAATTTTTATATCACAAAGAAGGAGGTTAAATCTTATCAAGTTTTAAAGAATTACAATGTTTTTCTGTACTCCTTTGACATCTATTAACTTTACGAAAACCAAAGACAAATTGTAAGTTCCAGGGTCCAATGTCTAACGTACTGCATAACACCCCAGCAAAAAAATTACATCGAACCTTAGATATGATATATCCATCTTTTATATATCCATGTACAAAATACTAATGAAAGTGCAAGGGATAAATATTAAAATATAAATAGTAACTAAAAATATGAATACACGTTAAATGTGTAAACAATTTTTAAAAGGGCTTTCAAATATGTATGTTTTTCAGGCACACACTGACTTTTTTTTCAGACAATAAAGACAATTTTTTAAAGCTTTATCAAATTACAAGTTTACTTGTAAACAAAGAGAAGCTGTAAACTGACGGCTTATCTTTGTTCCCATGTTTATCTGTAATGTGTATCCCTGCTGTTGGAAAGGTTGGTAGTAAGCAAAAATTGAATTCGAAAGTCGTCGTTATTGTATTGATATCACGACTATATAAAATCAGAAAAATTAATTTTTGCAGCAAATGTTGAATAACTACAAACACTGATGCATCTATTCTTATTTACAAATTCCCCCCAGAGAGAACTGGTTTCAATATGTATACGCAACTGCGCGCAATTAGCTTTCCTTGGATTATAACCTTGAATCTTATAACTATCTTTAATCTTTATATATCTTATATATACAAATAGATAACAAGTACAAAATAGGTGGCAACAGAGAAATGAACCAATTATACCCCACGACATGTGTCAAATATAAGAAAGAAAACAAAATTGTCTCCCATTAGTTGACATGTTTTCCAAGATTAATTGAAAAAAAATTAAAAACAGAAAATAAAGAACATATTAAACTGCCCTTTACTTTAAGATAAGCACTTTATTATAAAAATAATTTTGTCGGTCACAAAAACTTAATTGACACTTGTGACGTCAAAATACAGCTGTACTGAGCGTGCACATTTTCTACGTTGCCATCTATTGTACTAGAACAATCTATTTGATTTTATATACAGGGTGTCCCACATCAATTCGGATCGTTTATGGTTCTAAATTGCGTTTTTCGAGAGAAATTAGAAATTTTAGAAAGATTAAATTAATTTTAAAAATTGTTTACGCCTACTTTTAAAATTTGAATGCAGAAAACACTAGGTTTTTCGGGTATTAGGTACGTATTTCAACATTAAACCTAGAAGATAATCCAATATGATATGGGACGCTCTGTATCTTTTTAAAGTTTTGGTAATTTGTATGTACTCTAATGTAGCGGGTTCACAGTATACGTACAGTCGAATGATATATACGTCCTCCATGACGCGAATATTTTTCGTATAAAAGCGGGGGGGATCTTGTATTGTTCTAAAAAAAATTTACTAATTCTTAGCATACTATTAAAAAAAACAACAAATTTTGGGAATTTATTTTTTTATATTTGTATTACAAATATTCCCCCTTTTGAATTTCTCGGCAATAAAGCCGAAAGAAATACTTTCTCCTCTTCAGTTTTCAAAATACTTTAACGGGTGAGGTTCTAAATCAAATTAGTTGAATTTAAAGTTTAGATTGTAAATTGTAGATTGTAGACTGTAGAATAGACTGTACATAGATTGTAGATTGTAGATTGTAGATTTTAGATTGTTGATTGTAGATTAAAGATTGTAAATTACATAGCTTGTAGATTGTAGACTGTAGATTGTAGATAGTAGTTTGTTGATTGTAGATTGTAGATTTTTGATTGTTGATTGTAGATTGTAGTTTTTAGATTGCAGATTGTAGATCGTAGATTGTAGATTGTAGATTGTAGATTGTAGATTGTAGATTGTACCAAAGTTAATAATTGAAACAGTCTTAATCCTCTATCTGCCAGAGCCTCTATCCTCTTTATTAGTAGATATGACATAATAAATTTTTGTGATTAGATACAATGAGTCCTCAAGTCTGGAACATTCCTCATCTTTCATCAGGATCCCCAAAACCAGTTCTGGACCCAAATCAAGTTTACGTTTATAACATGAGATTCTGCCCATATGCCCAGCGCACCATGCTCGTCTTGCTTGATAAGAAGGTCAACTTCAATGTGATCAATATTAACCTGAAGAAAAAAATGATTCAAAATTGGTCTTGACTCTACAAAGACTTCTGCTAGAGTTTGGCTGCATCTTGCATGATGCAAATATCTTTCATCTTCATTTTCAATTTCCTGTTTGTTTGAAAATCTCAAGAGTTCTAAGAATAAGTGTTACTGTTTGCATATTTTAATTGAAAAGCCAAATTTCTATGAGCATGTTTTATTGATTCTTTTTTTGGAGCAAAAGTTGTAGATTAATACTAATTTGCATAAATATTTTCTTTGATTTACTTTTATAAAAACTAATCATTGATGGGAGGAGGAGGGGCTCAAACCTTATATTTTGTATATTTAAAACATTTCCATTTTTCTAGGTATGCTAGATTACATGATGTGGCCTTGGATGGAGAGGCTACCTTGCATCCCCTTGAGGTACCCCAACATGGTATTGCCCTCTTGCAGTCTGGATACGTGGGTGAAGGTAAAAAATGTATTTAAAAAATATCTTTAGGAAAAAGGCTAAGGGTAGGGCTCGGCGTCATTCCTGCGTATTGAACGTTCTTTCCCGGAAACAAAAGAAACAGAAGAAAACGATTTAAAAGAAATAGGAATAGCTGAGAGTTAAAATATGGAAAAAAACAGAATTTTCCAAACAATATAAGCAATGCAAATTTAGGCCAATTGTCTCTTTTCTCTAGTTGAAACCATAGATATAAACAAAACTTTCCAATGACAACACCCCTTGTATTTAGGAAATGTGGAACATTGAACCAGTTTCTAAATACGGACTCACTCCTGAACAGCACATGATGTTCTTCACAGAGTACAGAAAGGGGGAAGAATGCAACTTTGATTTTCTACTCAAATAGAGATTACAACAATAAAGAAAATGAAATAAATAGAGATATAAACGTCATTTAAATGATGCCTTCCTTAGTATTTTAAAAAGCGTAAAAGATTAACCCTAACAACAACGATTAACTAAAACTCGCAAAAAAATTTTGATCTAAAAATCTAAAAATATTTGTCTTCCATAATTTTGTAACCTTTTTTGTAAAGATTTGTAAACCACTATTTTTGCGTTTTCAGCCCCGGTAAAAATAATTGTTATGTTCCTTTAAAGTTTAAATTCTGAATAAATAAATCAGATATTTACTGTTTTTATCATTGTTATTATTATTTTCCTCTTCTTTTTTATAATTATTATTACTATTATTATACTTTAACCTTTCCTTCAAACATAAATTAAGAATTTACGATTTTTTTCTCTTGAAAGACGTTAAACTTTGCGTTTTCTTTATTTCTTCTGTTGCAAGATCCTCCAGTCAAAAAAGAAAAAATTTTGATCATATCGATTTTCTTATTCTTGATGAATTTGTTTGCATATTTTTTCAAATTCTTCAGATGTCATCTTTTCTATAAAAATTCCTAGAAATCTACAGAAAATCTTTTTTAACAATTGTGACATTACAGAAACCAATAACTGAATAAGTTTACTTATTTTCGATGAAAAGAGTTAATTTTTATTTGCTCAACTTGTTTCTTAGTTAATTAGTTTACTGTAGAATTTTTGTTACATTTTTCGTGGTCGTCATTGAATAGCTTAAATAAAACCGATTCTCAAAATCATCCCTCCAAAATGGACAATCTATAATCAGGATTTTAAAGATTGCATTGGCGCTCTTGCTGAACAAATATGCACCGTAAAAACGTCTGATAGGTCTCAAATGAATCCTAAAGAATTTCTCAATAATACTGCAATCTCAGTTCAACTACCATACATTGCCGGTCACTCCCTTTAAAAATGATCGTCGTTTATATCAATGCAATAAAGACGAATTTCTATTTCAATTTTTGATTTCAAACAAGCTTTAATTCAAGTAGCATGGACATTTGTCATTGGACACACATAAACATGGAAACAAATAACAGCTTCTTTTTGTTTACTTGTAATTTAATTTGTAATTTTGAAAAAAGCGTGTTAGAAATTAAAACTGAAATAGAAAAGTCGTCTTAATTACATTGATAAAACGCCGAACACTGTAAAATAAAAGTAAATAATTCTCCCAAAATTTAGCATAGAAGTCTCCAGTGTCTTGATCAGCTATCAGCTCAAGTTATATTTATAATTTCATAAATATATCTTTTTATGTATATATATATACATATGTATTTACAAACTCAACAGAAATTTTTGTTCTCTTATATCTTTGAAACCTTATATTGTAAACCATTGATATTTAAAAATTAGATTATTCAATCAAACATTGTTCAACGTTGAAAATATCCAAGTCCAGCAATAGGGCTTAGAAAATTTGAATTTGTGGCTCATTTTCAATCAATTTTTAAATAATGCTTAGCTAGTTTGTCTGTTTGTCCAATTATATCCAATAAACGTCAAAACGGGTGAACCCACCCCGGGCCCAAATTTTGTGTGGGACCCGGGCCTCACATGATCCCAGGGAAGGTTAAAAGTTGCTCAAAATTACAAAAATTTGTGTCCAAAAGTTCTTTATTTTTGTTAAATTTTGCAAATGCGCGTAAAAAATATTAATAAATCCGCAAACTTTTTTGTTATTGTTATATATTGAACAAAGAGAAGATACTTACAATTAGAACCACATTTAAAAGTTGAAATAGAAGATGGGCGCGAAGCGCTCTAAAGACCTAGAAAGATAAATTTCTAATAAGTCACTTCAAGGTATTTGATTCTTTGTTATGAACTCTGGTTAAACCCTACGTTTTTGCAACCCAATTAAAGTCTAGTTATCCCAAACTTTAAAATCTGTATTTAGATATTTGCTAACTGTGTGGTGCGAAGCGCCTTATATTAAAGTCTAGTTATCCCAAACTTTGAAATCTGTATTTAGATATTTTCTAACTGTGTGGTAAGATGCGCCTTATATTAAAGTCTAGTTATCCCAAAGTTTAAAATCTGTATTTAGATATTTTCTAACTGTGTGGTGCGAAGCGCCTTATATTAAAGTCTAGTTATCTCAAACTTTAAAATCTGTATTTAGATATTTTCGCGGAACAATATATTTAAGTGAGTGTATTTATTTTCCCCGAATCTATGTATTGTGTCAACAGTAAATCTTTCCCGCATTTACTCGGCCTTTTACAGGATTGTCTTTCTCATAACTTTAATCATTTGTTCAATTTAGTTTAATGGTTTCTTCCTTCCATTGCATTCTATTGCAATGGCGAAGAAATCCTATCTTTCTGTTCGACAGATCAAAACTGACTGGAGAACGATAGATTAAGTGTACTCTGTGAGAATCGGCTAATACTCGACATCTCTTCATTTTTACTTTTATACAGTGAGAACCAAAAACACTGTGGAATATGAAGACGACATTATAGCAATACGTATTTTATGTTGTTACAAAGCAAGTAGTTATACAAGGAACTTATCAATTCATTTATGAGTTAAATGGCTCTCTGGAGTAGTTTACCAAATTATGCGGCAAGGCTTATATCTTCTGTTAGAATATGAAGGAATTGTGTTTTTGCCACTAACTCAAACTTTCAAATTGCAACCTGCAGATGGTGTAAACTTTTGATATTACAAACTTAGATTTTTTTAGGTGAGAGAATTCATAATTTGACATATCAAAGGTATATGACATTAATTTGCAAAGATATAGGGAATAGAAAAATCAGATTTTGTGGAAAATACTCAACTTCTTTGTCACGGTGATAAAACTAACTTGTAAAGAAACATCTTTATAATTTAACTTAATTCTTCTCAGGTGGTATATATTTAAAGAATGACAGGTCGATATACATAAAAGAAATCATTTTATTTTGCAAGAAATTGATGAAAATTATCATAATTTAGTACTTTTCAAGTACTTAATGGTATAATTTAGTACTTAATGGTATCTTCCTCAATGAATTGTGAATCAGACAAATCAGGTCTACAGTTCCGTATCCCAGTATTTACTTATTCTCCTGTTCCGTATACTAGCACACCTATTCCTAATGCTATTTACTTATTCTCCTGTTCCGTATCCTAGTACACCTATTCCTAATGTTATTTACTTATTCTCCTGCTCCGTATACTAGCACACCTATTCCTAAAATCCCAGTACCTATTCCTAATGGTATTTACTTATTCTCCTGTTCCTATCCCAGTACCTATTCCTAATGTTATTTACTTTTTCTCTTGGTCCTATCCCAGTACACCTATTCCTAGTGTTATTTACTTATTCCCCTGTTCCGTATCCCTGTACACCTATTCCTAATGGTATTTACTTATTCTCCTGTTCCTATCCCAGTACCTTTTCCTAATGTTATTTACTTATTCTCCTGTTCCCATCCCAGTACCCATTCCTAATATTATTTACTTATTCTCCTGTTCCGTATCCTAGTACACCTATTCCTCATGTTATTTACTTATTCCCCTGTTCCGTATCCCAGTACACCTATTCCTCATGTTATTTACTTATTCTCCTGTTCCGTATCCCAGTACCTATTCCTAATGTTATTTACTTATTCTCCTGTTCCTATCCCAGTACCTATTCCAAATATTATTTACTTATTCTCCTGTTCCTATCCCATTACACATATTCCTAATATTATTTACTTATTCTCCTGTTCCTATCCCAGTACACATATTCCTAATATTATTTACTTATTCTCCTGTTCCTATCCCAGTACATATTCCTAATGTTATTTACTTATTCTCCTGTTCCTATCCCAGTACACATATTCCTAATATTATTTATTTATTTTCATGTTCCAATCCCAGTACCTATTCCTAATGTTATTTACTTATTCTCCTGTTCCTATCCCAGTACCTATTCCAAATATTATTTACTTATTCTCTTGTTCCTATCCCAGTACACATATTCCTAATATTATTTACTTATTCTCCTGTTCCTATCCCAGTACATATTCCTAGTGTTATTTACTTATTCTCCTGTTCCTATCCCAGTACCTATTCCAAATATTATTTACTTATTCTCCTGTTCCTATCCCAGTACACATATTCCTAATGTTATTTACTTATTCTCCTGTTCCTATCCCAGTACACCTATTCCTAATGGTTTTTTACTTATTTTCCTGTTCCTATCCCAGTACATCTATTCCTAATGGTATTTACTTATTCTCCTGTTCCGTATACTAGTACACCTATTCCTAATGTTATTTACTTATTCTCCTGTTCCGTATCCTAGTACACCTATTCCTAATATTATTTACTTATTTTCCTGTTCCTATCTCTGTAAATAAATGGTTGTAAAGATATGTGTTTCTAGTTTTCATTAATAGTTAATTATGTTAAAATATATGGTTTCCTTCAACAACATTTTACACAAAATGATTATGAATAAATAGGTTTTAACGTCTTTTTTATCTTTACTTTTTGTGTTTTGTAAAATTTTCATTTAATTACTTTCGATAGCACGCCTCACATGGGCTACAGCCTACAGGACTTAAATTGTTATTTACAAAAAAAGATAAACATTGCTTTCATCGATTTAAATGAATTGAACTATTGCCACAAACTCAAATTTTGCATTCATTTTATTTTTGCAATCACATGTCATAGTCGTGGAACTATTAGTAGCTTGGGAACCCGGCGTTGTCAGGAAATAAGTTCAAGAGTAAAAAGTCAATCTACCCAAATTAGAATTTTTAAACAAAGATTACTACTTTATTTATGTGAATGCAATATGCGGACTTGACTCTGGCAGAAACGAATGGAATTTCCTCTGTCATGCAGTCTAAATAAAAAAATTTAATTTATCAAAAAAAGCTGGTTTTTGTTTTTATATTTTGTGAATATTCGTTATAGTTATGTAGATTGTAGATTGTAGAGATATTGATTAACACCTCGGGGTATATTTGTATATATTGAGAAATGAGAATATCAAATTCCATTATTCTAACAAGAAGAAAATAGTTTGCTGCTAGGGCTGTACACTTTTTAATTACAATAACTTTTCTTTCAATTTTTAAATTTACCATTGTCTAAGTTTGCTGTACGTTATATCTTTTAGATATGTATTTTCCATATTTTTAAAAACGTTTTCGTTCTCCTACAAGCTATTAAAAAAACTATTTATATCGGAAAAAAAATTGCCTTTCAATATTTGGAGAATTTAAACATCATAAAACTCTGCTTTATATTTAAGTTAAAGGCTAAACCCCGAAATGAATGTATTACTGAAATGTACATCTTCAATTTTCCCAAAAATTTAGAAAATTACCCCTGAAAACAGTACACTCATAATTTCAGTAGAAGTACATAATTCCAATTACTGATAACGCCGATTGAAGGATTCATAGCTCTGATGATTGGATAATGAGATAGATAGAAAGATAGATGTTACCGCCATACTATTTCTATTGGTTCAAAATAGACAACAAACTCATGACTGAACCCTGATAGGATCAGGCGCTAATGGACTCAGCATACAGGAGTGAGTACATACAGCTTTTTCTAAACCTGGCTATATTTCAATTTGTCTCTATTTATAATTTACAAGATAAAGATCAATATCCCACTCTCCTCTAAGCTCTACTATATCTTTGGTCATCAGAACGCGCCGATAGCTTAGTGGAGGGTGATCCTTTTAAAAGAAGGGAAAAGGATAAGTTTCTCTGAAATGTGAGAAGTGGTTGTAAACATGTTTCTTAAAAAAGAAATAGTGCCTTGTAATTTATTTTAGAATTAGCAATCATTGTATAACATTTTATGAAATATTTACTCGAACAGCTCCTATTAGAAAAATATATTTCTTGCCACACCAAACCAAAACTAACAAATTATTGCCAACGCCCATATTCAGTTTTACAACATTGTGTCAATTGTAATGCTTCCATTGATTTATTATGATTTTAATTTATAATTACTTTTCCCGTTCATACAGGGTTGACTATAGATGATAAAGACGACCTGAAACTCCCATAATAGGACAATTCAAAGGTTAAATTGAAAATAGTCTTTTAAGGGCTTATTTATGATTTGGCGTTTGAAGAAACACGTTTAAAGTTGCAAACAATATAAATTCCGTACAATCGTCTCTGAAGGCTCATCCTTTGTGGATAAACCTGTATATTAATCCTTGAATGGATCCTACAAACCCGCAATATATTTAGAACGTCGTCTTTGTTTAAAGCTAACTATTTTGAGGAAAAACACATACTCAATAGCCTATTTTACACGCCCCCTTTCCCTGTATTTTATTTTCTCGTGTCCACTTGCCCACCATACCTGTATATTTTAACCAATTTGCCTGGGGCACTTTAACTCTTTATGTACTGGGGGTTTGGGGGGTTTAGTGGGGGGGGGGGTGGTACCTGTTTACCTGTATTCACTGTTTTGGTGTATAGGGTTAACTATTTATTACAAAATCAACTCGCTTAAATTGTTTTGTATAAAATATATTTTGAAAACTTCTTCCCAACATAAGTTTTATGATGAAGGATTTTTTTGTGGGGTAAATTTAGTTTTTACTCAGTAGAGATCCATCTTCTTTGGAGATCAAATATTCGTACATCATTGTGTTTTACAGTGAGACACATAAAACTGTGGGACAGGAAGACGACAATTAGAGCAATCTCATGTATAGTTTGAACACTGCTTAAAAATAAACTTGTTAAGTGAAATACACTGCCCAAGTGCTATGTTTTATTTTTAAAGTCTATTATTCTTCTTTATGCTCCAAAGTTGGATCCCAAAGGTTGTGCAAATATAAAGTTATTAGCTGAGAGGGTTTACTTTTAAATTCATGAAAAACTTAAAGATTATCATGCTTGGAAATAAATAAGTTTAATTGTTCATCATAAAAATAACCCCTTTTTACATCATTATACAATACTATACTTACGTTTAGTGCTAAACATTATGGTTTATAGATAGTGGACACGTTAATTTAAAACCATTTAATAAAATTTTACATTCAATATACATGCTAGAGATGTCAACGTTTTTATTTTTCATATTTCAGCTTTCGTTACGATAAGGTTCATCAAAAGTATAAAACGTTTGAAACGTTACGGTGCACATTTTGAAATGTTCTGGCATCCGCCTAGAGTTTTTCTACACTTGAATAACCTAAAAAAAATTAGGTTAAAAAAATTTTAGTAAAATGAACTTTTCTTACGTTACGATTTATCGAAACGTTACTGTGATACCTTTTTTTCGTTACACTATTTTACAACGGGCATAATCAAGTCTTTTAATTCGTTTCGTTTCTAAGAAAATATGAAAAAATGTTTTATACGTTACGAATACGTTGTATTAAACTGTTCAGGCCTTAACGTTTCTTACATTACACTTCATTTAAAAAAGTGTTGTTCCTAAATGAAAGCATTACAAGATTTTTTCCGTGAAAATTGCATTTCTACTTTTATATTTTTCATCCTAAAACATGAACCTTGCAAAAAAATAATGTCTTTAATCTCTTCTTACTCACCCTGTATGTTGCTTTTGTATTGTTAACCTTCTTTGAAAATGTGTAGAAGAATGCAGTAACATAAATGTTATAATATTATTATTGAATTGTTTTAAGATTTGTGTATGATAGTTTTTAGCATTCTTCTTACAACTCAGGTGGCTAGTCTTAACAGGACCAGAGAACTTAATTTCAAGTTACCTTANCGGAAACCCTATCGCCCCCTCCTTCTATTCAATTCTCCTTGCTTTTAAGGAACTGTTAACATATTTGAACAGTGTGCTAAAGTAGCATGAATTGTTAAATATAACTGAAACTAACCCTTGATGTAAAGTTTATCACAACTCAAGCATAGGTACCATTTATGATTTTTGTAATATTACTGCTAATATACACATCGATCCAGTTTTTACTAAGTAGTCTATACTTGCAGTACAAGTGAATTCATGTACGGTATTTATAAATAGATTGGACGACCCAGACATCCTTATACTGGTAAGGATCTTGCAACGAACGGACTAGAGTGGCAATAAGATGTCAGAGCTAGACAACTGTTTAGAATTCATTCAGCCTTTTTATTCACTTTAATAGTTTCCGTAGCTCTATTTCTTTTTTTCATTTAAGGGAGTGACCGGCTATGTAAGGTAATTGAACTGAGTATGCAGTGTTGTCGAAAACTTCTTTCGGATTCATTTGAGACATTTTTCACTTTTTAAAGATCTGTAAATCCTGAGTTTGAGCGCAAATACGACGTTCAAAACTCCTGATTTGGGGGTGGATACGCTTTCAGAATTAGTTTTATTTTTAATTATTAAATAACGACAACGAAAAATAAAGTAAAAATTATACAGTAATCTAATTAGATGGCTAGGAACATATTTCACAAAAGAAATTTTTCGATAAAACAATGCTAAAATCGATTATTTCGTTTTCATTATCATATTGAATTTCTAATTTTCTTTGAATTTATTCGCAGATTTCTTCAAATTCTTTAAATGTCGTCTTTTCAATAATAATTATTGAAAATCTGCGAACATCTTTGTTAATAACGAGAAAGTAGAATAATGAGATAATATAAACTAATAATTGAACAAGATTACTTATTTTCGATGATAAGATTAATTTTCATTTTCTCAAAATGTTCGTTAACATGACGTCTGTAGTTTATTGTAGAATATTTTTACATTTTATGTCGTCGTTAATTAATAATTTTAAAAAAATTAATTCTGAAAGCGTATCCACCCCCAAATCAGGAGTTTTGAACGTCGAATTTGCGCTCAAACTCAGGATTTACAGACCTTTAAAAAGTGAAATATGTCTCAAACGAATCCTAAAGAAGTTTTCCACAACACTGCGTCCTCATTTCAACTACCTTACATAGCCGGTCACTCCTTTTAACAAAGTTATAAAATACTGAATTAACGTACTATATATTATAGCTGATATATCAGCAGTGGCTACATGGTTGTCAATGAAGTCTCATCCTTTATGGGAAACACTGTACTGTACAGTGTTTGTATATATATATGTACATATACTAAACACTGTACTGTACAGTGTATATATATATTACAATTTACATGTACTGGTGTCTATTTGTGCATTATGAACATATATTTTACACAATTTTTGCTTGGTTTTTTTAAATCAAAATAATTAGACTGATTTATTATTATAGAAAAATGCTAAATACAGAATTAAGAAGATATCTGCTATATATAGGTAAACCAGTTTCTAAAACGAAATGTTTGATTTCATACTAAACTTTTATTTTTTCAATAATCACAGAATGTGTTCTTGTAATTTTAAATGATAAATTTATTCAAGAAATGCGAGAGGGGCTGGAGGAAGGGAAGGAATTCATCATAAAGAAAATTTTAAGCTCTGAAAAAGATTAAATTCAATGTGTTTCCTAATACACATGAAAATTCAGTAACGACATTAAACATTTAAAATGTATTTCATTTTCTTTAATGGACCGAAGGTATCTTTTAATTTCTAGCTTGTTATGTCCGATTCACAATGAGGAGGGTATCGTCGTTTTTCTGTCATAATTCTGACAAATCCTTTTAAAAACCCCAGTCAAAAACCCCACTGAAAAAATCAAGTTAAACAGCCAAAATTAATATATCTTACATTAATCAGACAAAGGTTTAAAGGGGACTGTGAAAATCGGACATGCCACCTTCTTCAGTCGGAGAGTAAGTCTTCAGTCCCATAGAATACTACAATATAAACACAGATAAATAATTCAGAATTTTTATATTTTTAGTAATCATCATCTCAGGCTGCAGTATGGCATACGTTCTAGTTTTGGGTCAAGGCAAATATTCAAACTATTGAAAAAATTCACAAAAATTTTTGTTTTCTCGATTTGGAAAAGGTTTCTTTTTTGTGCTGGTTTCACTGTACTACGATTATCAATATAATAAAGCCGACTTTTGATTTCAATTTTGATTTATATCAAGCTTTTAAACAGAATGGATTCACAAAAACATGGAAACAAAGAGAAGAGAGCTGGCAATTGAAAAAGCTTGTTAACAATGAAAACTACAATAAAAAAGTCCTCTGCGTTATATTGATAAAAATGCCGACCACCGCAGAGGATATTCTAATATTTTCACCGACACCATTTCCAAATTATAAAAATATTCGTAAAGTTCTAATTTTAAGAGAATGATATAATGGTCTAGACTTTTAGTCCCAATTTGACCAATTAAACTAAACAATTTTGTTTTGTATCTTTTCTACTTTTTTGGTCGGGGGGCCATCATGCGGTTTAGATAAAAAAAATAGAAAAAAAACAGCTCAGTGTAAAGAATAAAGATTGTTGAATTACAAACCAAACCGTGATTAAATTTAAATTGAAGAAAATGAAATACATCTAGGCCAGAGGCCGAATTTAAAGAATTTGAGCCGCGGCTTAAATATTGTTTGTTCCACTTAAAATTCTATTCAATTTTTCAAGATTTAAGCTGGCGTTCAATTGAAACCGGTTTTTGTCAGATTTAAGCCGCGGCTCAAATTCATTAAATTCGGACACTGGTTAGTCCAGGATCTTTCTTTAACATTCAAATGATAATAATTGCAATTAAGAAATTATTCCCAAAATAGTTGTTCAATGTTTGAATATACTTAAGTTGGCGAAAATCTACAATCGCAGTTACACAGGAATTATTTTAAGTTTAACTCCTAATCACTAAATATGAATTAAAATTTCATAATCTAAAGTTTTAGGGAATTTTAATATTTTTACTATTAAAAAGTGTCTGAAGCTTAAATAATGCCTATTACCCCAAATTTTGTTTCTGCATCGTTAGATATTAATTTAACGTTAAAAACTAAAAAATGATGAAGCCGACCTCAACATTCTTCTTTTATGGAAACTACATCTGCAGACCAATATAAGGTATGTGTTTAGAAAATAATAACTTCTGTTTTTGAGGAGAACATCCGTATATTTTTGGCAAAAAAATGTAAAACATTTTTACTTATTGTATACCTTGATTATTAACTACTAACAATCACTATTTCTTTATAGATGATATTTAACATTTCTACATTCTTTAGTAAAATACCATTTAATGATATTATAATCTAATTTACAGAGGAACCTACAGATTTGGCAATCCATTGAAGCGGAAAGAGAAATTGAGAATGAAATTCAAATTGAAAATGAGAATAAAATTCAAATTGAAAATGAGAATGAAATTGAAATTGAAAATGAGAATGAAATTCATATTGAAAATGAGAATGAAATTCAAATTGAAATTGAGAATGAAATTCAAATTGAAAATGAGAATGAAATTGAAAAAGAAGAACTGAGCAGCACTATTGCAGGAAAGGATAATGCTGGTAAGAAAACCTTACTTATCATAATTCTAATAAAGGTTGTCCCGATTAAATTAGGATTTAAGGGAAATTACAAATAAAATATATATTAATATTTCCAAAATGTGGTTTGTCCTTTTTGCACCGTTCAAATGGAAAGGTTTTCCAACCGACTTGAGACCTGTGAACGATAATTCTAAACTATCGAAGACGATTCTAAGTCGTCCTTTAGTTTCCGTATTTATTGGGACACCCTGTGAAACTATAAATCTACAGAAGTGTAAAAAATAATAATTAAGATTATTTTTTTCATTCAGATTCATCATTTTTCGACTATAAAGAAAATGAAAAAGATGATATTGAAGAAGAACATGAAGAGCTTCATAAACAAGAGAATATTACAGGAGAGGAAAATTTCATGATTCTGAAGTAACTTAATTAAAAGTGACCCTACAAGTGTAGACTATCATTTCCGATTCACAACGGTAACTGCAGTACTAATTTTAATTTTTTGAGTGAAGGATATCTCCGACCTTACAATTACATGATCAGACAACAGTTGTTATAAATTGGACATGCTTGGACATAAATAAAGGGTCACTTTTTCCCTTCACAGCGATTATAATCTTGAAAATAAACAAAAACTATTCTTAAATTTGAATTTATCCTTTAGAATATTTGAGATCAAGAGAAAATATTTATGAAGAAAGACTCCAAATTTTACACAGGAAACAATCTGTTCTGAAATCAAAAGAATAGTTTTATTAAAAAATAAAAAGTNATAATCGAATAAAGATAAAACATAAACTTCATGTCTCGAGCTGGGCGTTGATAATCGAATAAAGATAAAACATAAACTTCATGTCTCGAGCTGGGCGTTGATAATCAAATAAAGATAGTTTCTTTGGTTAATGAACAGAATGTCCCGCTTTTACAAGCGTGATCAAAAAACCTCTCTTGCATAACACACTTGTATGCCCATTCCATTAGCGCCTGATACAATCAGGGTTTAGTCATGTGTTTGGTGCATATTCTGAACCAATAGTAATTGCATGGCGGTAATATCTATCTTTCTATCTATCTCATCGTCCAATTAGAGATGAATCCTAAAATTGGCGCTATAATAGTAAATGGAAATATTTACAACTATTGAAACTACAGTGATAATTGAATTGAGTCTTTGCCACTAACTGAAATTTTATATTTCAAACTGGTATGTAATCTAATGTAATCTAATTTTATATTTCAAACTGGGATGTAATCTGATGTAATCTAATTTTATATTTCAAACTGGGATGTAATCTAATGTAATCTAATTTTATATTTCAAACTGGGATGTAATCTAATTTGATATTTCAAACTGGGATGTAATCTAATTTGATATTTCAAACTGGGATGTAATCTAATTTTATATTTCAAATTGGGATGTAATCTAATGTAATCTAATTTGATATTTCAAACTGTAATCTAACAAAATTCATTGTTTTTAGATATTTACGAGATTGGGTGGAAAAGATAAAGGGATTAAAAAATCTAAATTCGTGACTCAGTTTGTCAAAAAATAAATAAAAATCGCTAAATAAAAATCGCTAATTAAAAATCGATTTCAAAAATCATTTTTCTGTCAACGTTTTGCATTATGTGTTCGACTTCTTAGATTTTTTACTGGGGGGCAAGTAGAAATTACACAGACAAACCCGTATTCCTATACTGCAAAATTTTTTTGGGGGACACCCTGTTCAGCTAGAATGCTTGAAGTTGGATCCAAAATATAACCACAAATTTGTTTCCTCAAGAAAATACCAGGAAAACCAGAAAACTTTGGAATAGAAATATTTGATGTACGTTGTAAAAATCAAATTGTAGCTCGAAAAAATGCTATAAAATAATCTGTGTACACTGCTCAATTGGAAGTGTTTCATGTTCATCGGACTAACTGATAATCAAAACTTGGGTATTAAAGTGGTCTTTCTATTTTCTGCTTTTCACTGTACATTATAATGCAAATATTTAGCTCTGACCAAAAATATAAAAAAACACAATCAATTTTTCCAAATGATTTTACAAATTATTTGAAAATTGCAAAGAAAATGTTGCATAGTAAAATAAAATCAAACTTTTAGAGAATGGGATTTGATAATGAAATAAAAGTCTTAAGTTTTGTGGAGCCTTTTTAAAGTCCCCGAGCGCATCCCCCTTAAATGTGGAAAAACAAAGAAAAGATTTTAATTGTAGGATCTTCAACCTGGGTTGATCATTTACTGAACCTGGCAAACGTAAAAAAAGCAGAAGAGAGATTTCATAAACAGGTTCTACCATCTACGTACATTTTAAAAGCACTTAATATTTGTTAAAGAGACTGTAAGCGTAAGATCAAGTGACTCTCAATGCAAAGATTACAATGCCTGATTTACAACGGTACCCTTGATACCTTAAGCTGATCAAAAATGTGCAAGAAAAGTATATATTTCTGCAAGTTTCTCCGTTGCTTCTTACAAACAAGAAATGCGCAAGCCATTTTCGCAGGAAAACCTCAAATGAAACAGTTGCAAGAAACAAAAACATTAATACTTTATTCTAACTTAATTAGACAAATTTTTCAAAGGTACCGGTTATTACAACCTTTGCATGTCCAGAGGATCACTTGAAAAGGTACCGGTTATTACAAATTTAAGTTTTGCATAATCAAAGTAGACTTGATTCCAAATTTTTATTTAAAAATGTATCCGTAAACTAACTGTTATAAAAATCTCTAAACAAATGTAAACGAATTTGTTGTAATCTAAACACATGTAAACTATTTTGTATGGAGATAATAAATATCTAGATTTTAAAAAAAGTTTATTATGTTCTGTATTGTGCCAACTGAACTATAAACTGTAAGGCAGCATGGTTTATTATATTCTGTATTGTGCCAACTGAACTATAAACTGTAAGGCAGCATGGTTCATTATGTTCTGTATTGTTCCAACTGAACTATAAACTGCTAGACAGCATGGTTCATGATGTTCTGTATTGTGCCAACTGAACTATAAACTTGTAAGGCAGCATGGTTCGCCAACTGAACTATAAACTGCTAGACAGCATGGTTCATGATGTTCTGTATTGTGCCAACTGAACTATAAACTTGTAAGGCAGCATGGTTCGTTATGTTCTGTATTGTGCCAACTGAACTATAAACTGTAAGGCAGCATAGTTCATGATGTTCTGTATTGTGCCAACTGAACTATAAACTGTAAGGCAGCATGGTTCATTATGTTCATCAAGTATACATATCAAATTCTTTATTGTCAGGTAGACATATCAAATTCTTTATTGTCAGGTAGACATATCAAATTCTTTATTGTCAGGTAGACATATCAAATTCTTTATTGTCAAGTATATCATATGGCAAAGATTTTCGAAATTTGCATTGTTATTGTGACCAATTAATTTAATAAAGCAATTTCCCAGTAAACATTATGTTGCATCTAAATGCGCTGTAAAATCTCTGCCAATTTTGTGACATTTAAGGCAATATCAGACTTTGCTGTTTTTAAATAAGTATTGTATTTGTTTATAAATTATTTCTAAATTTAGTTTTTAGATTGGAAAATTGCCTAAATTGTATCATTACAAGATTCACCATCTGTGGGGTTAAAACTTAAACGTCAATTTTAAAACTGGATTTGAATTTATTTGCTTTAGCTGTAAGGAAATAAATATCATGATCTTTCATGATCAATCAAAAAATTCCTTTAGTAAACATATTAATAGTCAAAAAAAGATTTTAAAGCTCTAAATAATTTTATGTAAATACTATTTTTAAATCGTCAACTATTATATTTCCCTAGAGATCCTTTTGAAAGACTGCTGTCCGCCTACAAGGATAAAATGACAGGTACCGCTATCTAATTTACTTACTTTTTCATCCACTAATTTAACATTTTTCCATTTAAAAACTGTTTTCAGGACCTGTGCGGTGTTGGAAAACTTTTGGAAAAATTCAGGGATCTGCCATTTTTGTCAAATTAGAATATTATAGAAACTTTTAAGCCTCAGAAATTTGCATTCAAGGTTTCTTTAGAGATTCATCCATATTTTTAAAGGACTTTAAAAGGGACTATAAAGGAAAAATGAAAGGGGTTATAGGCTGAAATCTAAGCATTTTAGGAATTGACAAGACCCATAAAAGTTTTATCTGATGTTTCTGTCTCGAGAAATTGAAATAAAACTGTGCCAAATTGATACGAAAATGTATTATAAAAAAATTTGTTTTAAAATCGTAGGTTTAATCAGATCATATTCAGCAAATAAGCAACCAATATTTAAATAACGATATCCCCGAGAAACCTGAAAAATTTATCATTATTTGAATTTAAATATTTTTCATTTTTAATAAATATAATTAATATTATAATAAAAACGTCTGTATCATGCCAGAACTACAACAGGGTGAATGCAGTATCATTATCATGTGTCTCTGTCTGTATCACATGACCAGTATACTGCACTACCATTGGTGGGAGTTCTGGTCAGGTTAAACTGATGTTACAAATAATATTATCAATTATATCTTTTAGAAATGAAAAATTATTAAATTCAAATAATAATAGAAGTAAACTTAAGTTTTTAAGGCTCCTCTTGGATATCGTCCTTTTCAGATTGGTTTCGTATTTACTATTTGCTGAATATGATCTGTTTAAATATACGATTTTTTACAACATTTTATATACATACATTTTATATACATACATTTTATATACATACATTTTATATACATACATTTTATATACATACATTTTCATATAAATTGGACATAGTGTAATATATAGTTTCTCGAGGCAGGACAGACAGAACTTTCATGGGTCTTGATCAAATTCTAAAATGCATAGTTTTTAGCCTATTTTTCTTTTAAAGGAGCTTTATTGTATGTTTTAAACTCTGAAAAGTCAGGATTTGAAAGATTTTGTTCCTAAAGCATAACAAAAATTGTCTAATGGCAATGTATTAAAAGCTCGAAATTATGAGAAAGCACAACAGAACAGAGAGCAAGGAACTTAGAGTTGTCAATCGTTAAAATTTTAGTTTAAAAAATGTAACAGCTTATCACATGCAAATGTAGAAAGAAAATTTCTATATTCTTGCTTTTTATGGTTTATGTGGCTAAACATTATTTAAATAGAAAGATATTCTTAATGTAAAGTACCACAACATTGTTAACATTTTTGACATTTGCTCAGTGATAATATATAATAAAAACCCTAAAATACGCAGAGCATGAACGATAATAAATAGGCAAAGAAACCTACATTATTAAAATTATTTCAATATATTTATAATTAGAACTTATAAAGTGATTGACAACTGATTTATAGATGGTAACATTCCCCGAATTTGCAGAGTATGTGGCGGAAAAATTAGAATTTCTTACAAATCCCAAACCTTTTAAGGTATGTCTGCATTGTTTAATTTATCAATAAGAAATTAAAAATTCTAAACATCAAGTATATAAAACAAAAACTATAATCATTACAAAAGTGACCCTCCATTTATATAGTGCCATTTCATATTCACAGCCGTGCCCTCGTTGCAGGTTATAGTGTAATATTGCATTTAAGAAAAAATCAATTGCAAAATTCTAACGAATTAAAAGAAAAGAAGTGAATGTATCATTGATCTCATTAGAATCATCATACTTCATATCAATATCATCATACTTCATATTAATATCATCATACGTCATATTAATATCATCATACTTCATATTAATATCATCATATACTTCATATTAATATCATCATACATCATATTAATATCATCATACATCATATTATATCATCATATACTTCTTAATGAAAATCATCATACACTGTAAATATTAAAATGTAAACAAAAATAAGAATTTTTGGAAAATGGAACCGCTACACTTTTTAAAAAAATTATCCAAAATTGTATTGCATAAATGTTATCGGCAAAAATTAATAAATAAAATAAAAACACTGTCATGATTATCATGTTCATCTTAATGCTTTTAACAGTGTTTGGTCACAACAAATTGCACACTTTTTTCTAGCATCTTCCACAACACCTGTAGCCTGTAGTGCAGTTTATTTTTTCCATTTTCAAGCTTCTCTCACAACAGCTCTTGCCTGCAGTGCAGTTTATTTTTTCCATTTTCAAGCTTCTCTCACAACAGCTCTTGCCTGCAGTGCAGTTTATTTTTTCCATTTTCAAGCTTCTTCCACAACAGCTCTTGCCTGCAGTGCAGTTTATTTTTTCCATTTTCAAGCTTCTTCCACAACAGCTGTAGCCTGCAGTGCAGTTTATTTTGTCAATTTTCAGGCTTCTTCCACAACAGCTGTTGCCTGTAGTGCAGTTTATTTTTTCCATTTTCAAGCTTCTTCCACAACAGCTGTAGCCTGTAGTGCAGTTTATTTTTTCCATTTTCTAGCATCTTCCACAACAGCTGTTGCCTGTAGTGCAGTTTATTTTGTCAATTTTCTAGCATCTTCCACAACAGCTGTTGCCTGTAGTGCAGTTTATTTTTTCCATTTTCCAGCTTCTTCCACAACAGCTGTAGCCTGTAGTGCAGTTTATTTTTTCCATTTTCAAGCTTCTTCCACAACAGCTGTTGCCTGTAGTGCAGTTTATTTTTTTCCATTTTCAAGCTTCTTCCACAACAGCTGTTGCCTGTAGTGCAGTTAATTTTTTCCATTTTTAAGCTTTTTCCACAACAGTTGTAGCCTGCAGTGCAGTTTATTTTGTCCATTTTCAAGCTTCTTCCGCAACAGCTGTTGCCTGTAGTGCAGTTTATATTGTCCATTTTCAAGCTTCTTCCACAACAGCTGTTGCCTGTAGTGCAGTTTATTTTTTCCATTTTCTAGCTTCTTTCACAATAGGTGTAGTCTGCAGCGCAGTTTATTTTTTCCATTTTCAAGCTTCTTCCACAACAGCTGTAGCCTGCAGTGGAGTTTATTTTTTCCTTTTTCTAGCTTCTTCCACAACCTGAGTCTCCCCATCTAAAAAGAAAAACAATTAAACAAAAAAGGTTTAAACAAGTTCCTAAATATGTTTTTATCTTTACAATTTTTACAGTATTTACTGTGTACATCATATTTATATCATTATATACTTCATATAAATATCATCAAACTCATTTTAATATCATCATACTTCATGTTAATATTCTTCATACCTCATATTAATATAATGATTATAGATTTTATTTCTATTTCTATTTTAGAGCTACAGATTTTCCGAAAAAATCAAACAAGTAAACTACCACTGGATTCCTGTTTATATAAATTGCAATCCATGTAAACAAGCGTAAGTAGTTTCCTATTCTGTTTATGGGGATTGTGTACCAATTTGAAAATTTTGGAAGTATGGAAAGGCAACCAAGAATCTCTTATTTAAAAGGGTTTCTTATTTATTTCCATGGATTAAAAAAATATTTTTCTTGGATTAAATCTTTCATTTGCTAACTCAAGTTAGTTATATGCTAAATTTGATTCAAATTAAACATAATTTTCCATAATAAAACTGTAAAAATATTGAGCCCAAATTTTATGAATTGGAGAGGTCGCTGAAATTTGCATACTGTCGATTCAAATCCTGAACCACAGATTCGAACCCTCATGAATCATAAATTTTGCATCAGTAATTCAAGGTTTGAACTGGTGCATGGGGCAGTGGATAGTTCTGCATCCTAGCTGAAACTCACTAAATTCAGTCCCTGGAGATTTTAATATTAATATCTAACTACTCATAGCATTGTTTACCAAATGTGATGCTCATTTATCGAAGGACGAGAATGTTTGGTAACTTAGGGTTATATAAATGATAAGATGGCAGATATGTATTCTGTGAGGTCTTAGTCTAAACCTTTGCACTCTACTGATACTAGGGCTGAGCAAGTTCTAACTTTTTTGAAAATGTTCAGTTCCGTTCTAGAACAAGGGCCTTCAGCTAGATTGTTCCATTCTTGTTCCTTTTTTTCGATCGTTCCATTCTTGTTCCATTTTGTTCCATTCTTGGTGCTCTTAGTCAAAGAACAGTTCCATCCGCATTCCGTTCCGTTTTTGATGTTCTTCGTCGAAGAACAGTTTCAACATCCATCTAGTTCTTAGTCAAGAACATTTCCATCCCCCTTACCATGAAAAGGGGGGTGTACATTTTGTAGTTAATAATAATAAAATAATTAATTTTCAAAATCAATATTTCAATAATTATCAAAAAGATATATAAATAAATTATAGAAAACAATTGCTTTCAACCAAACTCTCCCATTCCTCACGGGAAGGGGAGAGGCAGGTTTAGAGTGGGGGGGGGGGGGTTCAGGTGATCGAATTTAAATAATCTTTTAATTATTTATTGCCAAGAATCCAAGGTTTTTTTTAACAAATCTCCAGTTGTAATATTTAATGAGAACCCCCCCCCCCCTGAGTGTCCCCTCCCAGGGGGGTGTGCACCCAGGGCACCCCACGTTTGCATCCTGATTTTAATATTCTTTTCAAGCAATTTTTGTTCCGATCAGTCCTTTTACTAATTGTTCCAATATTTTTAAGAACGCGTTCTCTGTGTACATTCTTTTTTCGGAACGATGGGATCATTCTTGATAGTTCTGTTTGTTCTGGTGAAAGAATGATTGTTCCCGACGAAAAACGCCCAGCCCTAACTGAAAGTGTAATCCTTGGGTACAATAGCTTCTAAAAGTAGTTTGTCAGCATCAACTGCTAGAACTTAGTCCTCCAAGCTGTTTATTTACTAAGCTCTTCGCAAGGGTGAAGAACTATCCTAACAGGTCACTTCTTACCTTTGGGAACAGATTATAGTTGTTGAGGCCTGATCCAAACTAAAAAAATTATGTTGAATTCCTTTGAAGGCCAAATCACTCAATCCTTTTAAATGTATAATGATTTTTATAAAGGTTTCTTTAAATTAACTCCTCTCTCTTTCTCCTGGTTGCTCAGGAATAGAGACTCTGTAGCTACTAGCCAGGGCAGTGCTCTTAGAACCTTCAAAGAGTAGAGACTTCTGTCAATCCAGAGGTTCAGTGTCCTGCACTGTTATACTGCTGCCAGATAGATTATCACAAACAGAGGAGGCCTCCAGCCTCCAGCCCCATAATTTTTCACGAGTATGCAGGTTAAGAATCCTCCACTTTTACAAGTGATTTGTCTAGGTTGGTTTCTGTAGATGGTATTATCATTACCATCCCAGCCAGTCCAACCTCGATGAGACTGTATCAGTTTCTACTCTGTCCTCACTGGATAATTCCATGCAACTTGCAAGGAGTTAAATGAGCTTCAGAGCAGCCAGCAGATCCAGACCCAAAATGTTGAAAATAGAGAAAAAAAAGGAATCAATTAAAAGGCACTGCAGACATTTAGTTAAACATTTACTCAAGCCCTAACCAGCGGGAATAAATTGTTGATCTGGACTATCCCTAGGATAAAATTATTGGTCAGAGAAATTAGTCCTTACAAAACGTCAAGTAAACTAAAAAGTAATAATTTATTTATACATTTCAATATTAGACCAACAAACCTTTACCCTTTCTACCAGCTTATCTATAGATTGGAGCTCGTCCACTTTCATATCTTTCTATGCTGACAACCTCTTTTCAGACTTTAAACACCCTTTCAGTCATAAGGGGGGGGGGGGGGTCTGCATGAGGTTTATTTGAGATATATACAAGGCCTCCGTGATAAAAAAAAAACATAATGGTTAATTATTTGTAAAAGACTTTTTTGTGCTAGTCATTAAATAATCCATGCAAATTACTACATCCATACCAGTAAGCTTTCTTCCTTATTTAAATCAAAAAATATATTTCAAACTGAAACATTTCAACAGTTTAGTTATCTTACAAGGACAGACTTTTACATTACTGGACATTCCATTCCCATTGGAAAACACATGTCTGGCATCCAGCATCCATTAGAATCCATACCGCCAGGACACATCATGCTTTCAGGTCCACAGTTCATGATAGGACAGTATGCTGGGCAATCATTTCCATCAAGACCAAAGGGTCCCATCATTGGCATACACATATCAGGCATCATGCATCCATTAGAATCCATACCGCCAGGGCATATCATGCTTTCAGGTCCACAAGTGACAGGGCAAAATGATGGGCACTCATTTCCATTAAGATCAAGTGGTCCCATTGCAGGCATGAACATATCAGGAAACATACATCCATTACTGTCCAAACCTCCAGGGCATATCATGCTTTCAGGTCCACAGGTGGCAGTACAGAATGCTGGGCATTCATTTCCATCAAGACCAGGGGGTCCCATCATTGGCATACACATATCTGGCAAAATGCATCCATTAGAATCCATACTGCCAGGGCATATCATGCTTTCAGGTCCACAAGTGACAGGGCAAAATGATGGGCACTCATTTCCATTAAGATCAAGTGGTCCCATTGCAGACATGCACCTATCTGGCATCATGCATCCATTCGCATACATACCACCAGAGCATATCATGCTTTCAGGTTCACAGGTGGCAGGGCAGAATGCTGGGCACTGATTTCCATGAAGATCAAGAGGTCCTTTTGAAGGTATGCACATATCAGGCATCTTGCATCCATTCATGTCCATACCACCAGGGCATATCATGCTGTCAGGTCCACAAGTGGCAGGGCAAAGTGCTGGGCACTCATTTCCATCAAGACCAACAGGTCCCATCATTGGCATACACATATCCGGCATCATACATCCATTAGAATCCATACCGCCCGGGCATATCATGTTTTCAGGTCCACAATTGGCAGGGCAAAATGCTGGGCACTCATTTCCATCAAGACCAATGGGTCCCATCATTGGCATACACATATCCGGCATCATACATCCATTAGAATCCATACCTCCAGGGCATATCATGCTTTCAGGTCCACAAGTGGCAGGACAGAATGCTGGGCACTCATTTCCATCAAGACCAATGGGTCCCATCATTGGCATACACATATCCGGCATCATACATCCATTAGAATCCATACCTCCAGGGCATATCATGCTTTCAGGTCCACAAGTGGCAGGACAGAATGCTGGGCACTCATTTCCATCAAGACCAATGGGTCCCATCATTGGCATACACATATCCGGCATCATACATCCATTAGAATCCATACCTCCAGGGCATATCATGCTTTCAGGTCCACAAGTGGCAGGACAGAATGCTGGGCACTCATTTCCATCAAGACCAATGGGTCCCATCATTGGCATACACATATCCGGCATCATACATCCATTAGAATCCATACCTCCAGGGCATATCATGCTTTCAGGTCCACAAGTGGCAGGACAGAATGCTGGGCACTCATTTCCATCAAGACCAATGGGTCCCATCATTGGCATACACATATCCGGCATCATACATCCATTAGAATCCATACCTCCAGGGCATATCATGCTTTCAGGTCCACAAGTGGCAGGACAGAATGCTGGGCACTCATTTCCATCAAGACCAATGGGTCCCATCATTGGCATACACATATCCGGCATCATACATCCATTTGAATCCATACCGCTAGGGCATATCATGCTCTCAGGTCCACAGGTGGCAGGACAGAATGCTGGGCACTCATATCCATCAAGACCAAAGGGTACCATCATTGACATGCACCTATCTGGCATCAAGCATCCATTCCCATACATACCACCATAGCACCATAGCATATCAGGCTCACAGTTGGCAGGGCAGAGTGCTGGGCACTGATTTCCATGAAAATCAAGAGGTCCCTTTGAAGGCATGCACATATCAGGCCTCATGCATCCATTAGAATCCATACCACTAGGGCACGTCATGCTTTCAGGTCCACATTCAGATGGTGCTATTTCAGGGCATATGGGTGGTATAGCAGCTACTGTGCTGAAGATTAGAGGAATTAGATACTGAATCATCTTGATGATTGGTGTCTAAGTAAGTGATGCTAATAAACTATTTTAGCAGCTTTTATACAGGAATATCTACAAGGCAAATATCTTTAAAAAAAAATCTGATACATAACATTTGTTGTGATTCTTTCAGAGAGAAAAACAAATTCACAACAAAGAATCCCTTTGAAATACAGAATACAATACAATTCTGAGGGGAGAGGGGTGTTGTTTTATGTTTCAGGAGTTTGTCTTTACAGGAGTTTCCACTTTTAAAAGCTGTCCTTGAAGGGGTTTGAATTAATTGGATTTCAGAGCTTTGTAATTCTTAAGTTTGGAGTTTAGCATGGTTTTTGTTAAAAAACAAGTTCAGTAAGCAAATCAAAGCATTACTTTGTCATGAAGGAATAAATTGAAAGGTTGTGCATAAAATACATAACAGTGATCAGGCATCCGTTATATTCATATCACCAGGGCATTTCATGTTTTAAGATCAACAAGTGGCAAGCAGAATGTTGGGCACTTACTTCCATTTAATCATTGCGGCATGTGACACATGTCAGGCAACAAACATCCATTTTTATGTTTAGTTACAGTGAAACCCTTAACAATGAATACGTCGAAAGAATTCATCAAATGTCGTATTCTTCACTTTCTGATAATGGAATCTTGCAGATATTTAGTTTTTTAACCAAATGATTATATGGAACTCTTTAAAACTTTTCCCGCATATTCATGACTATTTATTTATTTTCGCAAATACTGAAATTTACGTAATATAGTATAAAACTCATTGAAAAATTGTCAAGACGACATTTGATAAATTCTTTCGATGTATTTGTTATTAAGGGTTTCACTGTACTTTCCCAAAGACATTTTCCCAAGGGTGACTTCCTAAGTGACAAGTTTACAAGTGCCATCTATGTGATGTACTTTCAGTTGGTTTGTTTTTTATGTCGTTTTTTAAAATTTAAAATTTGGCATAGTGTAAGAGAAGAAAATGTACTATATGAATTGAATAATACAATTTAGAAATCTTGTAGGTGATAATACGTTTTTTAGTCATCCAAAATGATTAACAACAATGTGGCAACTTCCTAAATGTACATCTTCATTGAAGACCTTAGAATTTTTCATAGGACTTTTAATCAGAGACGCAAACTTTTCATTGGAGACCCAAGATTTGCATAGGAGACCCCAAGCTTTTCATCTGAGGCCAAAGATATTTATTGAAGGCCCCAATCTTTTCATTGGAGACCCCTGAAACTTTTTGTTTTAACCCCCAATTTGCATTGGAGACCCCCAGATTTATATTTAGCCTCAAAGAGGTTTTGGTCTTATCACTTATCACATTAGCAATATATTATAGTATTATAATCAATTAAAATAAATGGTTACATATATTTTTATTGGATAGAATTGATAATGGTAACCAATTTTTGCTTATGTTGAATTCATGAAGAATCCATTGAACGAATTTTTGTTTAGATATGATGCCATCTTCAAACTGGAAACACTGAATGAAGACACTTATTATATTAAGAATAAACTTGACATAAATCTTGATGTTCATTTACAGAGGTAATCTTATCTATATTTAAATTTGGCCCGTGTGTTGATTCTGACCGTATCCAACAAATGTTAAAACGGCTGAACCCACATGGCCCCAGGAAAGGTTTCTGGATTATCAAAATTTAGAAGTAAAAATGATAAAAAATTGCTACTTTTAGAACAACAGAATTAAAAGCTAAAATTGTTAATAGGAAAAAGGCTAAGAAGCGCGTACAAGTTAAAAGTAGTGATGAACATGTTCGACTTTTTTCTATGGATTTTTGTTAATTATCTAAATTAAAGAGTTTCCAACAAATTCATTTGTTTAACATTAATCTTAATTTTCATCTACAGGGGTATTCTAGCTATATCAAAACATACTTAAATAAAAATAAAAGAGGGTATAGGCTGACATCGAATCAAATTACATGTTGATTGCTACTATAATTCTAGTTTTATCTGTTGTGTCTATATGGAGAACATGGTTAACAACGCCGTAAACTTCAGAACGTATCGTCTGTAGAAATTCACAGAGTTGCACTATTCCACCCAGATCGTAAATAATTCAATAAAATTTAAATCTAAACATTCAGATATTACAACCTAAGCGTCGAATTCAAATCGATGCGTTCATATAGTTGATATTTAATAATATTTTTTATTTGTTTGATATACTTACTTTAAACGTTGATTTTTTGGTCGCTGGGTGTCGTTAGGTGTCTCTATCCAGAGACACCTAGCAGATTGTATTGATATAATTGAAGACCACTGTATCATCACCACACTAGGTAAATGTTGAATGCAAATTTTAGATATTTGAGACCCCTGCTATATAAACAGAGCTGGCAACTTTAGAATGAGATATCCTTAATTCCAGTTACTTAATCTGAGTATCCTATGGACACACTTTTGATTTTCTTATTAAACCATTCTTTCTTGGATATAGTTTTTTTAAATTTAGAGAGTCTCTCTCGTTTCTTTACATAATCTTAAATGGCGCGCAAAATTTCAAATTTATTGGCTTCATATAAACGACTCTGATTGGTTGAATTTTATATACTCTCGATATTAAAAAAAAAGAGAGGATCAAGCATTGATCTCAATATCCACCATTCTAAAGTTTTCAGCTCAGGACAAACATCTTTTCATCTGTTTACACCAAAAATAATTTCATATTTACCAAAAAAGGTATTATATCTTTTATTTACATATGAGAATAAACATACGTATTACGTAGTCTTTTCATACGGATAATCTGTGATTTATATATAAACAAACATGCATAAATGATGATGAATATCTTTGAGTATCTTCTTTTTAAAGGGAGTGTTCGTAAAAAAAGAAATGGGGTTTAGGCTTATGGCAAAAACAATCGCTTTTGATCGCTACTAATCTTACTTCTATCTGTTTCGACTATAAGGAGAAAATTGTTAAAAACGACATATACCGAAGAACGTATAGCGTCCATAAAAATTCAGAAAGTTACAACATACAACTCTGATCGTAAAAAAATCAATTTAATTTCACAAATCATTCAAATATTACAACCCATAATCATCGATAATTTTTCGATTCATTTGTATTTTTTTTTTTTTGTTGATATTTTTTAATATTTTGTATTTGTTCTATATAAAATGCACTTAAAACGCCGATTATAGTTGGCCGCCAGGTGTCTTTGCTATCAATGTGCTGAATGATTCCACCTGGCAGAGACACCTAGCGGAAATAAAATCTGTGTTTTAGGTGCATTGTATATAAAAAAAATAAAAAATATTATGAAAAATTAACTATATACAGATGCATTCTGAATTTGTATGGACGCTTAGTTCTTTGGTATAAGACGTTTTTAACAATTTTCTCTATAGATGCAACAGATAGAAGTAAGATTAGCAGCGACCAAAAGCGATTATTTTTCGCCGTAAGCCTACACCCCCTTTCATTTTTCGCGAACACTCCCTTTAAACAATAAATTGATTATATGCATGTACATGTAATACATATATACTAGGCTTTTAGGGCATCGTTTTCCTTGTACAATATAAAACAACTAAGCTTTTATTTCAATTGTGAACACTTTCTCTTTGTAAAGTATATATTGTTAAACAAAACAAAAAAAATGTGGATTTTTAAAAAAAATCGTGGATTTTAATAATCAAATAAATTTTTTTAAGGCCAATTTTTGAAATTTTTATCATTCAGAAACCTTCTCTGGCCCTGGGTTAACGTGGTCCCACACAAAATTTGGGCACGATCGGTTCAGCCGTTTTACAAACAAACAGACAAACAAAAAGACAAGCAAAGTATATATATGACAACAACAAAAAGAACGCGGATTCAATAATATTTTTTCGCGGATTTTCAAAATTTTACATAAATCTAAAAATGTTGGAGACACGTGATTTGCCTCACAAATTTTGAGCTTGATCTGTTCAGCCGATTTTTCATTGGATAAAAACTAGGGATGTTCACGTTTACATTTTTTTTAAACGATCGTTTCGTTATGAAAACAACGACGAAAAATCGAAAACGGAACGATCATTTTTTAAAAAGCTTATTTTTTTAAACAGTCGTTTTTAAACAATCGTTTTTATAAAGCTTGTCGTTTCGTTAAAGATCGTATAGCAACGAACCTTCGTTAACGATCGTTAACGAAGAGAGGAAACCGACCTGAAGGGCATCCGTATACTTTCTATTGAGTAGTTTTTAAAGAAAATATCAAGAAGTTTTAGCTCCCACACAACTGTTTAACTTCAATAAAGTTGCATGTAATTTTTTTTCAAAAACAATCGTTTTCATAAAGTACGTCATTTCGTTAACAATTGTTAACGACGACCCTTCGTTAACGATCGTCAACATAATTGTCAATAACAAGATTTTTTCATAAACGATCGTTCTTTCAAAAGCGATCGTTTTTAAAAAAACACTTGTATAAAAAACGGTTGCTAATCGTTTTTATTTGAAAACGATCGTTATTCATTTTCTAAAAGTTCAAAACGAGTGGGTCGTTTTTAAAAACGATCGTTTTTGAAAACGATCGAAAAACGAAACAAAAAACAATCGTCTAACGATCGTTTTCAAGAACGATTAACAACCCCAGATGCAACAGACAGTATGAATTAGAAATCAATGAAAATATGTAAAACTGATTCTTTTCAATTGTTGTTTCAGGAAAACATGTCGAAATTTTTTTAAATAAACACTTTTAAACTTAGAAAAACGACAATAGCTTCAACATTATTGATCAGACAATGCATGCTTTAAATGGTAGATACTGCATCATACTGATGTGTTTCTGACCATTTTAGAAATCTTTACAAGAAGGGTCACTTAAAATTACGTTTAAATTCAAAACTTTTTATTACTATTATATTAAAGCCGAGTTGCGACTGATGGGCATACATCAACTGATCGGACAGTTAAAGCTTTCTCAGCTGTTGATAAAAGGTACTTTAAAAAATAAAAATTATACTTTTTAT